TCAAGATTCACCTGGGAGCAATTTACCAATTCAGGACAGATTTAGAAAAAAAGTCTAATGGAAATGTATAGAAATACGCTTGTCATATTATGACAACTTGTTCAACCATTTTGCATTTAACGACTTATACGATGAACTAATGACTAGATGTTTTGAGGGGTAAGACTATTGCACAGTGAACTATATAATACATTTTGATCAACATGACATAAACAACTGATAATGTAGGAAACAGCAGAGAATTGTACATAATCATTTGCATGGATGTACCAAAGCATTTGCAACTTCTTCAGACAAATGAGAAACTGCTTTTTTGATGTGCACAAGTGACACAGTGATGTGAAGATTGAACAGGTAGTTTTGAGAATTTCAATTCTGATCTGAGAAATGTACCAAAGTGACTGAGAAAAACTGTAATAGCAGCACTGGCAGTAATTATAAAATAAAATAAAATAAAACAACTGTTTCAATAACCATATAAAGCCCATCAACCTACTGGACTTGTTGGTTCAGCTTCAAGGCATGATATCATATGAAAACATCAGGTGATCATTTTCAAAAATGAAGTGACCAAACAAACAATCAAAAGTGAGCTAAACAGTCAGAAATCATCCTGAAATGATTTTGATCAGTACTGTGGCTCCATATGGATAAATAGTAGAAGAGAGAAATGCTTTGTTTCTGCTGAAACACAGTGATACCCAAGTAGGAACCTGTAATATGCAGCAGTAACAAGCCTGGATCACATTCTCAAACTCTCATAAACAGAGATGTGTGAAATCATACACCACAGTAATTATAACATATTCATGCCTTATGTGTATTATCATATGGGAGTAAACCTCATCTCAAAAGTCTCTTGTTCTAGTCAGAGTCCAACTCTTGTGTGTGAATCTTTCATACATGCTTTAATCCCCTCATTGTGACTCTCACATGGTGAAGAAATCCCATGCCTCCAGCAGCCTGGGGCCAAACACTGTTACTCCACCTCAGTTCACATGCTCTGGTCATACAGTAGTCAATGCTCCCCTTATGTTCTACTTTAGCTTGTGCCATTCTGACCAGCTGAAAGTACAGGGTAGTTCCTAGCAGGGTGGTTGACAACATGAGGAGATATCTGGGGATTAAAAGGATTCTTTTGCCATGGCTGAGGAAGGACAGTGTGCACAATGAGTCTAGTCCACTCATACCAAAGGTAAGAGGCTACTTTTGACCTTCTGTTTTACATGTTTTTTTCTGAATATTGTTTACCTCTCTGTACTGAGAGAGGTTTGGTTAAATGTTTGAAGTGACATTAGTTTTCAAAAACTACAGCATTTAGTTGAATTGCTGTTTGTCTAAAGGCAGGTTCGACAAAAGAGGATGCTGAGGAGCCTGGTCAACTAACCAGTGAAACAGGGACAAACAGTGAATGGGACCACAACAACCCTGTATTTGCAAAGGTCCAACCTCACTACCATTATTCTTTAATGGACTATTTCCTAAAATACTTCCTGTTCCTTTGCAATCTGGTGTTCACATTTCTGGGCCTATTGGTTTTTGGTCTGGCGATATGGGGCTTTATCAGCAAAGAGTCATTTGCCCGGGAGAAGATCAGCAGCATCGGCACTGACCCGATGCTGATACTTGTGATGCTGGGCTTTGTGCTGACTGTGCTCTGCCTGTCAGGTTGTGTGGGTGCCCTAAGGGAGAACTGCTGCTTACTGAAGCTGTTCTCCATCACCGTGCTGGCGCTCATCACGGCCCAGGTGCTGGCAGCCATTGTGGCCTACAGTCTACAAGACCAGATTGGAGGTTACCTGAGGTCAGGGATGTTAGCTGCTATGGTGCACTACCAGGATGATCTGGATCTAAGGTTCATCACAGATGAAATTCAGTCAAACCTGCAGTGCTGTGGGGCAGATAACTACCGTGACTGGGAGATCAACATGTGAGTAGCGTGTAACTAACTATGGTTATATGTCCAGCAATGACCAACCATGATGATGTAGGAATTCCTAGAAATGCAAATGTGCTGACCAGTGTGCACATTTTCCCCTTTCCTCAGATATTATAACTGCTCAGCTCCAGGAGTTCTGGCCTGTGGTGTTCCTGCAACATGCTGTGTGGACCCGCTGGAAAGCGGCACAGTATGGAACTCTCAGTGTGGTGCAGGAGCACAGCTGTTGGATGAGTTTACTGCCCAGGGTGTGATCTTCCTGGGTGGATGTCTTGGAGGAATCTCTCACTGGATCGAGCAGCATGAGAGCCTGATAGTGACAGTTGCTGTTGTGGTACTTGGGGTCCAGATTCTGACTCTTCTTATTACAACACGGCTGCTAGGAAGCATCCAGCGGCATAAGGCTTATATACAAGTATAACACTGAAAGATGAATGCTGATTGGTTTTGGATCTCCACCTTGTTTGCTGAGTGTAGTAAAGTGAAACCCCTAAACCAAAACAAATTTTTTTTAAATCTTTATTTAGCTTGATTGTAAAGATGACTGAGCCTGTTTTGTCAGTTGCAAAAAAGTGCAATAGGATAAGTACTATTTTTAAGGATGCAAGTTAAAATAAGGTGACAGAGCAAAGTGGGAAAGTCAATTTCACAGAAAGGAGACATTTAAAAGTTTAAAGCCCAAGAAGACCTACTGTATCTGACAGTTAGTGACAAGGCCAGTGATCCCTTACTGTTGTGGTGTTAAACTCTTCACTTCTACTGGAAAACATGTTGTACCATTTTACATATTTAACAGGCGATCAAATGAGGTCACATACTCAGGCATAATTTTCCCAAATGTTATTTAAGAATAGAAAGTAACATTTGGCCTTAAAACAAGCTCCAGTTTTTTTGAGAAAAGATTAAACATATTAAACAAATAGCATTTAATTAGTGAGCTTTACAAAAGCTGGGAGGCAGATTTTTTCCACTTCGGACAGAGCCAGGCTAGTTATTTCCACCTGTTTCCAGTCACGCTAAGCTAAACTAACCAGGTGTTAGTATGTAAGCAGTATCAATCTTGTCATGTAACTGCTTGCAAAACAGTGAATGTGTATTTCCCAAAATCACAAACGATTCTTTTAATTGTCAGAAGAAAGTTTGCTACAAAGTTTGCTAACTGCTTGCAAATGGGCAGAAATAAAAAAAACAAACAAACCTGAATTCAATTTACATGGGTTTGATTCTTTTGAGCTTTTCGATTCCTTCTATTTTGCTATTCTTTTTTAAGGGAGAAGAAAGGATTATAATGGGAATTATGTCATGTTAAAACATGGTAGCATGGTTTAGTAAGATTCTTCAATATGGTAAAGGTGAGAAGAAAGAACAAATGTTTTCAACTGTTCAAAAAGTCAGGACATATTCTTAATTTTGATTAAACTCAATAAAAATGAGGCTGACAACTGTGCACAAACCTTGTCTTTAAGCTTTCAGTTACAGCTCCCACTGTGAGCTCAATAGCATAAGACACATTTAGCATCAGTGGGTTATTGATGTTAAAATGGCAGCTTATGAAAATACATTTTGTGTATAAAAACAACTTAGGCAAAGAACAAAATCCTCAATTACATAATAAATCATTAGTTTGTGGTTTACCATTCCAAAACATTATTGATGATCTAGATTGTTGCTGAACTTTCCATGACTTCCCATTGCTAAATTTGACAGTGACAAGGCTCAGCTAATACCATAATGAGCCAGTTCAAGTAGCTCTGGATGGCTGTATGCATCCCATGGGCAGATTACAGTGATGTATTAAAAGTAAGACCATACATTATTGTGTGGGTGCTGACTCAGCATCCACATAATAATTGGAAAACATAGTGTGGATGTGTCATGATTCTGTCCCATCTGCTTCCTGTCTCATGCTAATATTTTGACACCACTTCCTGTCACGGTATCATTTCAGCTATGGACTCTTTACCCTAATCAGAGACAATTGCTTACACCTGTTTTTGCCCCTTTATAGGCAGCTTCCTCACACCCGGAAGCTGCCAGACCGTTCTATCTCCTGTTCAGACTTTCCGCCGTTTTTTTCGGTACCTGTGATTCCAGCTCTGACGCCACAGATTACCTTGTGACCACCGAGTACTGCCTAACCCCTCTGATTCTGATCGTGTTTTCTGTGTATCGACTATCGGACTCCCCTCTCTGACCTCTCGTTTGTGGATCCCTCGGCTGTGTAAGTTTGCTGGCTCTGACTGTGGACTGTATTATCGACCTGAGAGTGTTACTTGTGAAATCAGACTCCTGCATTGTGTATCATTTGTTTCTGACCAGTGCTCTCTAAAGAGACAGTGTTTCTTATCCTTGTCTGGCTTTATAATTGAGTTCACCCTTGACATTGTTGGCAGCCTCACATGCCAACCCTGACAGGATGCTGCTGACTCAGCATCCACGCAATTAGTATAGGCTGATTTTATTTAGAATAAAGTTACAACTTTGTATATTGCTTATTCTCTAGCCTGGTTGGCTCTCCCCTATAGATGGCCGCCACGTCACAACAATTTTATTTTTGTCCTGGATATTCTCGGTCAACGTAGCGCGCCCGTCTACACAAGGTAAGTGTCGGATCTCTCGGTCTTGTTTTCTTGGTGCCTGGTTTGGTTGAGACAAGTCTAGATAAGCAGAAGTTAAACTGGGGTAAACTGTACCTGAGATCAGTCTGAGGCTGCCTGTTACTCTGAAGATGCACCGATCCGCCTGTCAATCTCCCGTTCCATCCTTCCCTCACTTGTGAACAAGACCCCAAGATACTTGAATTCCTCCACTTGAGGCAGGAACTCTCCACCAACCTGAAGGGAACAAGCCACTCTTTTCCGGCTGAGAACCATGGCCTCGGATCTTGATGGAGCCAACAGGACAACGTCATCTGCAAAAAGCAGAGACGAGATCCTGTGGTCCCCAAACCGGACTCCCTCTGGCCCCTGGCTGCACCTAGAAATTCTGTCCATAAAAATAATGAACAGAACCGGTGACAAAGGGCAGCCCTGCCGGAGTCCATCGTGCACCGGGAAAAAGTCTGAATTACTGCCGGCAATCCGAACCAAGCTCCTGCTCCGGTCGTACAGGGACCGTACGGCCCTTAACAAAGGGCCCCGGACCCCGTAATCCCGGAGCACCCCCCACAGGGCACCGCCCCGACGACCGTGTGTGCCAAGTGTATGTAGATAACAATGAAATAATTAGTAATTACATTACAAAGAACTTGACAAGCTACTATACATTTTGTTTCGTGATATTCTAAATATTGCTAAATGCAAGGCCCATGGTAGTGCAATAAAATACAACTCAGTCATAAATTGTATTTCTGTTCACACTATTGGAACTATGAAAGCTCAATTTATGTTCATAGTGATGTCATTGCACTCAGCTATATTTCTAATTTACACAGAGGGCACAGTATTGGAGCCACTTCTGAATATAATGTAGTGCAACACCATGAACTATGGTATCAAAGCAAATGAAATAGATGTAATAGATATCACAGTAAAAGTACACTCAATGGTAGTACTGGACTTCATTAAACACCTAATAAAGGGACAACTCAGAGTTACTTCTTTGATATATACTGTACAGGTTTCCAAATTTTCAAGAACATTATTTGTGATTTACATTTGAATCTAATAAACTGATAAAAAATTCTGAAACCAAAAAATGCACAGACTTCTTTAATAAATGTCAAAGTGCAGAAAATGGCAAAATACTATGTGAGACAAATTGCTAAGTTATTGATTGGCTGAAGTTGCAGATACTCACCACCTGTGTTGCTATGGTCTGTACCTCTGCTAGTAGTGTGGTGGAGAGCTGATCTGATGATATATGATGAGTTGTGTTTAGTGAAACCCTCTTAAATGCCCCAGCCTCTGAGGAGATTATGACGCTACCAGCTCATAAACTGCATCACTATCAGCCTACACGCTAACACACGGGTTTTTCACATTATACATGGAAAGGTACATTCATTAGTGACTGGCTGACAAGCGGTTGAGGCCGATATCAGTTCCCTGCTGCTGAGACTGTCCAAACAGACTCGATAGCAGAGATGCAGATGTTTTTAGAATAGCACTGAGGATGTGTGCCAGGGTGTCCAACAGGATATAATTTACATACTATATTTCTTCCAGAAACATGCAGTGAAGGGATGGAGCTGTGGGATTTTCTCTGAATATATCCCATGATCCCCAGTGTCTCGCAAACACCTGCAATATTATGCAATATCTACTATCTTGAACAGCGGAAGCATTCTCCTTTCATCAGCAGATTCTCTGAGTTGCATTATGTCTCACCAGCAATTTCACTACCTCCCACACACAAGACAGACCTGGTCCATTCATCAAATATTTTAATCTGTACTGTACACGTGTACATACATGGGAAATATATGAACACACTCTGGCTTCCTATGGTTTATTTATTCTCACTGTTCCCCTCAAAGACATAAATTTATCAAATATTCTGTACATGATTACAGAAACCTGTGTGACAATCAAAGCTTGTCATTGATACCATCTTTATGACATGTAGCAGTCTGAGTTTTTGATTAGATTGGTTTAGTTTAGATGAGTAATTCACTACACACTGAGCAGTGAAGGCTCAGGAGTGCTTATGCTGCTGGAAACATGTTGGATATGTGATAATAACACAATGTGGAATAAGATGCAGCTCATTATAGTGCACACATTTATTTGTAAGGATTGTTTTCATCATTGATAGGCTGTATTTGCCCTTTTTTCAGTTAATTACTTTTAGTCTATAAACTATCTCATCATAAAAATTTTGAGAAGGTGGAAATATTTGACATGTTGGCTTAATGGTGGTGGACGCCATCTAGTGGGGTGGAAGATACGACAGCAGTTACTTTAGCCAATCAGATTGTCCTTTACAGAAAAGATCGTCAATTACATAGAGGCATCACTCAGGGACAAAATGGCTTCACTTTTCGAGAATCAGGCAGATTTCAACATACCTAGCATTAACTTTATTTAACAAAATTAACCATACATAGGTCACTTAAAAATAAAACTAAAAAGGTATGGGAAAGAAGCAAAGTGAAGTGCAATGTTTAGGCTGTCATTTAGTAGGGTGTTTGGAGTTATTAAAGATAAAATGAATAATTACACGGGAGGAAACTGAAAACTGACTCATTTCTTCTTTGAAAGATTTTCTTCGGGATTCTATGGGTTTCATGAAAAGCGGAGTCGAAATACCTGTTACCCGAAAAAAGCATCGGAGTGAGAGCTCACCTCACTCCCTGTCGTCTAAGGTTGGAGTTCATAGGTTAAAGGCTATACATGCTGCTCCACATGTTTTGTCAAGATAATTTCCAATAAACTGGATTAAACCACAATAATATGGGAAGGAATAAGAAAGATAAGACTAACGAGTCAGGAGAACAACGGGACAGGGCCGGGCAACATCCAAGGTAACGTACGGAAGCTAATGTGTAGAAGAAAAACTGCTAGCTAGGTGCAGTAGCTAGCTGTTGTCGACTCTCCAATTTGTTAGTTGTGATCTATAAAAATGAAGTTCTGGACAACAGTTAATAATGTTCTTTTATTTAAGTAAAGGATACGTGCCTGCATTTGCAGTACACTGTCTGCAGAAGCTTATTTTGTGTCACGTTTTTGGTCTGCAATGTGTCTTAACTTAAGGGATAAGAAGCTCAAACGAGATGGCAAACCCAAGAAAGCCCAACAGGAAGACCACCTTCAGCACATCCCGTTCAGGCTCAGAGAGATAATGAAGAGCAAGGAGAGAATGAAAACAGGGTCGTTTAAGGCTAAAACGCTAAAAGAATGTGAGTTAAAAAAGGAGAGAATGAAAACAGGGTCGTTTAAGCCTAAAACGTTAAAAGAATGTGAGTTTTAAAAAAACCACACATACTTTTTAATGTATATAATAATCGTGAATCGGTTCATAATAGGTGACTGTGCTGTATTTTCTCTTTAGACAAAGGTAAGCCAGAGAATCCGCAGGATGGGGACATACCTGTGCCACATTTTAAAAGGGGAAAGTATGAAAGTGAGAAAGCATACCTGGGGCGCATGGAGAGGGAGACCAAGCATGTCCTCTTCCTGACCAAGAACCAGGTGGACAGGAAGCCTGAGCTGGATGCAGACAAACAGGAGAGGCCTGCAGACAGCGGCAAGTCTGAGAAGAAGAAGGAGTGAGTACACTTTGTAATCGGCAATCCTTAACTGAAGACATGGGACATCAGCTAAACCCTTTTCTGCTTAGACTGTCATTTATGGGTTTTGCTGGTTTGTAACTAAAGTTTCATCTGCCTGACACAACAAAATGCCTTGCCAGGACAATTGGATTTTAATAAAATAAACTCATTGCCCAAATCAAATGGTAATAGATAAGACAACACTAATGGTAATCAACAGAAAATAGACCAAAAAAAGAAAAGTAAAAGTGATCATTCTTAGTGGTGTATGTGTGTTTGTTGTTCTTTGCTACAGGTATAACAAGGCCAGATTACGGAGGTTACAGCAGAAGAAGATGGACAGACAAGAAGCTGAGATGGAGAAAGAGGTGTTTGTAGGTAATGTAAGCAAGTTACTCAAGAACAGTTACCACTACAATCAATGTGAGGTAGTCTTTCCTCTACGATGTAGTACAAGTATGTATATTACTGGCTGAAGCTGAAACATACTTAGAATTCTTATCTCTGCAGCTTCACTGTGTTTGGCAGTGCTAGTTGACTGTGTCTTAAAAATCTGAATGACCCACTGGGCTTTTACTGTTTTTCAGAAAAGCACATGATGCATTTATGTTTCCAACTTGTTGGGCTGGCCCAAAGTGGTTAAAACCATAATTTAGTGCAGCTAATCCTGCCAGAGGAATAGATTGTGAAGCTTTTTATCTACTTTAATGATGTTTTCTGTTTTGTAGACCATGTTCGCTTTGGCGAAGTTACAATGGCCCCACCTTCTTTGAGCTCTAAACCCAGAAAAGCTCTGGTGAAATCTCAGGTAACAACTCTGTGGGGCCATCTTGTTATTTCAGTGAGCTTAACTCTTGAGTTAGTGTTTAACTGCTTTTTCTCCTCTGCCTCCATCAATCAGGAGGCATCAAAGCAGCTGCTCCTACACTCTCTGCTTGGCTACACCACTGCCTCCGAAACCAAGCCCTCCATGGCCAGACAGAGAATCATGGAGGAGGAGAGGGAGCGAGCAGTAGAAGCCTACCGTCAGTTGAAGAAACAGAAACAGCAGCAGCATAAGACCTAGACTGGCAATCAGGAAATACTCAAGGACCTTCACTGATGTTTAATGTCACTCAGCTCAAGGAATTATAATTGCTCAAGTGTGAATGACTGCAGTGATCAGTGATGTTCACCAGCTGATTCAGATTATAACAGAGCCATCTACAGACAGTACAGTATGTGTTGTGTAACTCTGGAACTAATATGACAGTGGGGGAGCTGACCACAGTGTCGCTAACCGTCATGTAAAGAAGCAACCATTTGCATTCGCAGGTCACAGTATGAGGAAAGTAATATATGGCATTGACCTGCCACTTTCCTTGTGACATATTTAGTTCAGGCATGAACAGCACATTATCCTCTTTATGGTTGTTGAAGTATTTTTAAAGAGGATAAAACTGCCTAAACTTTTAGACTAAATACAAGAAAGTCCCTTCAGAGCGGTGGCAGTGTTGGATATTTACACTGTACATATTTGCATCTATAGATAACCACTATGACATCATTTCTGATAAGGTAGACAATGAAATCATTGAGGTTATCTCAAGGCAAAAAGATAAACATTTGTTTTTTGTCCACTAGATGGCAGTACTCCTGTGGAAACTTGGATTTATAGTGTTTTAAGGAGAGCTGAGAAAATGTGTGAACAGAATTAATCTGCTTTTTTTTTTTTTTTTAATACTAAAAATCAGGTTTTGGAGGCACCCCATACCATATTATACTGCATGTAGAAATGTATGACTGCATTGTTTTACGATATGTCAGCCTGTATTCAATTAATCTAAATGAGCACAGTTTATTTATAACGCATAAAACAAAAATCAGAAAACAGTCTTGTCGTGACACCGATTTAATAGCACTTTGATCACATGATCAGCAGATGAGGTTCACCCACAGATTCACATTTTTTTCTGACCACATTAAAGGTTTCACATTCATGTTAGTTGAACAGCTGAGGACAGGCTCACCCGTGTTCCTGGAAACAGCTGTTATGAAAACAGTCTCACCACCAGCTCCATTTTAGTAGCTGTTCTGGAGCTTTTAGTCATATGACATGATCATCTATAAAGATCCTGTGACTTGCTTTCTCAGAAATGCAAAACCTGTTGATGCGTTGTTTCCCTTTGACCTCTACAAGGCCCAGCTTCCTAGGGGAGGGGTCATGTCAGCCTTTTGTAAGAGTGGAACGCCTATTAAAACCGCGCACAGCTACTTACATTTGTAACGCTTAAAAGGTTTACCCTCATGAACTAAGCCTTTGTTTGAATATTGGCTTCTCTGCAAATGTGTATGTTTTGTTTGACAGCTCAATAAAAGCAGACATTTGAATACATTTTGCATATTGTCACCATAGTCGTTGTTTGACATGCTCTGCTTCTTCTCAACACATCTTTTGCAACTCCTTGCCATCCACATTTGTGTACAGTATGCATGCACTGGGGCTCAGGCACAAGGCTTTACATAGTTAAATCTCAGCATTTGCATGTCTATTGTATTGAGTACTTGTGTCGCTGATTTCCAGTTTGTAAGCAATTTCCTCTCTCAGCAAGTACCCATGGCTGCTGACAAGACAGGATGGTGGGAGTAATTGGGAGAGAGCCCACTCAGCCTGCTGCTAAGGCAGCCACAGCTCGCTTTGAGACTCTTAAATTATGTGTGTGAGACAAATGATGTGTGACTAATCATACTGCTCCCTGTAGAAAAAGGAAGAACTCTAGGTCAAAGCAGTTATCCATGCTAACTTATATTAAGCTAATTTGTCCCTTCACTGTAATGTTTTGAATACACAAGTTCAAAACCACAGTAGCATTTTAATCTTTTTTTAGTAGTTAAACTGCATTCACTCACTATGTGATGAGTGTGTTTGATTGTGCTCGTAGTGCTGATTTGCTTCCTACTCGGCTTCTTAAACATACATGGAGTGATGTCTCCTGACAGATATTTACTTCTGCTACACTGGGGCTGTAGTTTCTGTGAGATTCTCCATCAAATCTCATTGGAATGCTCCAAACTCAGAAAATCACCACATCTTGGTTCTGCAAAGACCATTACAGTCAGACTGCAAAAGAGCCTAACAGAGATTTGTTGGATTTTACTGTTTGGCACCATTCCCAAAATCACTCATGGTGCCGCCTAAAGAAGTCGACTACCTTGTTGCATAGTGTGATTCCATTCTGTACGGTATGAAAAACAATCCTGACTTAAAACTGCTTAAGCTTATCAATCAAACATGTAAATAATTGCTCCAGTTAGTGACCTTTGACAGTTCCTCTTTCAGTCTCCCACACCTGCCTCCTTGTGAGTTGTTTACCGGTTACAGCTGAATGATCCAACAGCCACACAGGAATTCAGTCATCCTCACACATTTAATAAATTAGAAATTACATGTGTATAAATCCAAGACTGGCTTTCAGAGGAAGGTTAAATCACACTCTACTTTTCTCTACTTTTCCAAGCTGGTAAATAGGGGTGGGATGGTGTACATGAGAAGCCATTCTCGTTATAACATGATACTTTTCTCGTTTTATGATAAGTTCACGTGAAACCTGATTTTTCTCGTTATCATGAATGACTACTGTATTTTCTCATAACGTGAGCCCTGCACAGTTTGGACAGAGTGCAACGCGCACACTGGCTTTGAGCAGCGCGCTCATTCAGTTCAACAGCCTCTGTCGTCAACACCTCCAACTTTCCGCACAATGACCAGCGTTGCGCCTGGGAGGTGCGCTCCAGTCGGTGCTTGAGAATTACTGATCAGACTTAAATATAGCACAATAATTAGCCCACAAAATAACCCATAAATGTAGCTGATGAGCAAATACCCTGCACAAGTCCCGATTATGTTTCAGACATCACTGACAACAGGTTCAGTCAGCGTGGCTGCTGTTACGCACACCAGCTGCGCAGGGCTTAGTGATTAGAAAGGATACGATCCACTTGAGGGGTGTATGATATCGTATTAGATCGGGCCATACATTTGAAACTATGTACTATATCAGACAATGAACGCCAGACGCAGTGGCCTACTTGAGCAAAGATGCGCACGGTGCTTACAGGATTGCTGCAGGCGCCACTGCTCATATAACTTATTATGTAACTTAAGCTTGATCAAAACGAGCCGTGCTCCATGCTGGACAAGCTGGTCTTTATGTGCAGCCGGCTGTGAGACCGTCTCCAGCGTGGAGCACGGCTTCTTCATATTAACAGTTGGCTGTAATTCCTATGTAATTCCTATCCTGGGTATTGGGGCTACCCTATGGAAAAAAGTAAACGTGTGCACGCTGTCAAAAATCTGCCAGTACTCCTTTATGAAAATTTGTAAACATTCCCACCCCTACTAGCAAAGTCTATAATGCTACAGCCAACAGATTAACAAACTACAGGCATGTGATTTATGACAAAAGAAGTGATAACACAATTCCAACTTTTAGTTTGTGAATAAAATTAAGTTCAATTCAGTTTTAGTGCCAATTCACAACAACAATCATCTTAGGACACTTTACAAGGTAAAGTCTAGACCTTACAGTTTAACCCCTATAAACTATCCATGTCCAGCCCTTATACATACCAAGCAGCGCACAAACAACAGAGTAAACGGAATAAAACAAACCACAGGTGGAGATTTATTAGACAGCAGCTGTGGCAAACTGTGTGTAGGTGACAGTGCAATGTGCTTAACTCAGTCTGCCTGTGTGCAAGAGTTCTAAGATGGTAGGGACTCTGCTGAATGAGGCAGGGAGTTGCCACTTCCTGGATTCAGAGAGTGGACTGTGGCCCGAGGGATCATCATATTGTGGTCCATCTATAAAAAGCGTGCAGAAAAGTGGTTATTCCAGATGTGACAAGGAGGAAATGATCTGTGGTGTAAACTATTGTGAATACTCACCTTTGTCAGACCCTTTGCAATCAGGGCTATTTCAGTAGGCTGGTACACACATCTTCGTAGCTGACCATCGTAAGCACCGTATGGAGATGCTGGCTTTGTGGGTACTGGTAAAGAAAAGGTGGGTTTAATAGAAAAATATGTTGTCATGATCATAGACCATTTCACTGAGATGTGCCAGAAACAACGGATATGCTTTAAATAAACATACAGTAACAAACATTTATTCAAACTGTTAAGTGAATCAATATTTGCTGTGTCTGTCAGGACAATCAGATACTCTGCACAAGTTGGAAACTGTGAATCTTTAAAAGCAGAATGCAGTGTAGTATATACGTGACACTGTGTTTTCCATTTTTACCAACCTGCCAACAAAACAGTTTCTGGCACTTCATGATACTTAATTTCCCTCTGTCGTCAGCATGAGCCTGTAGATAACTCCGACACTTAGCTCAGCATTGTTCAGCGTATATTAGTCACAGTTGTATTGAAAATATCAAGAGCGGTACCGATAGGATGATGTGGGACACACAAATGCTGTTCACGAGTACATAAATTACATTACAGACTTTACAACTATAGTGTGCTTATTTCAGTAAGTGGCTGACGTTATTGCTACATAATACTGGCCAAGGATGCGAGCCTCAGTAAGTAGATGGGGCATAATGCATAAATTGCACAGTTTTATCCTGAAAGTAGATTCCCCTGGGCTCTACCAGACGCTAATACACAAAAATACAAAATACACTGTCTGTTAAATTAAAACTGTTGTCTGATTAAATTTTACTTACAGACATGGGCGTATTAATTTATTTATTTGCACTGATGGCATCACCCGGATGAATGGCATACACGCCTTTTAAAGTATTTACACACAAATACTGCACTGCCTCCTCCTCTTTGTCAAACACTGAACAGTTGACTGTGAATACTAGTGTTGATGCGGGTTGGCTCACCAGTTATGTCCTTGCCCTTCTAGGAGACAAAAGTAGTAATGCCAGTGTTGTCACATTAAAGTTGCTGCCTATTATCTACATCGCTGCTCTTTTGCCATATACTGTACATATACTGTACATATACTGTAGCTCACCTGTGCTTAGTTGATATACTATTGCCAGTTACTGTAGAAGTGCATCTGCCCAAACTGTGCATGAATAAATCATTTCAATGGAAGACTTTTCTGTTGTATTTTGTTGTATATTGTTGTAAGATCAATGATAGATAATGAATCATGCTGTACCTGTTGGAGGCTCGTCCACAGAAAAAGCTTTATTGTCCATGGACACATTCTGACGAGGTGGCTCCGGCTCCCTGAGGATGTTGTCGAAAACCAGACTCCTGGCAGGGTAGATGTGGTATTCATCATCGGGCTGCTCCTGTTCTGGGTCCTCCTGTGTCAATAAGCAGATTTCTGGGATCGTGTAAAGGAACAGAAATGCCCAGGCGTTTGACACCACAGCTACAGCCAGAGTAGGATCATCCCAGCTGGGATTCCCGGTCAGTTTGTTCCCCTGGATGTACATGACAATCCAAGCTACCCAGATAGCCAAGGTGAAGAGCCCCGTCATCAGGATGAAAGCTCCATCTCGGCGCCATTGCTTGTGTGTTAGTGAAGGCACAGCCATCACCACCACAGCTAGCAGCAAAACCATCACATAGATCAGAGCCATCACAAAATCCATGTTTTCAATGCTGCAGGACAGGTCAGTGTCGCCTCCAGCGGGTGTCCTGACTACAGTGATGATAAGCCACTCAGTGTTAATGATCACCTCAACCAGCCACAGACCCAGAGCTCCCAGGCATAACATCCAGCCCCTGGGCCCCCGGCCTCTCCGCTCCAGCAGGACGAGCCACAGCCCATGCATCAACAGGCAGGCTAGACAGCCTGAGAACAGCACTCCAAAGAGGAACCTCCGTGTGGCACAGCCGGTGGAGTACTGACTCACTATGAAGGCAAAAGTGAGTCCAAAGAGTCCCACAGTGAAGACTAGAACACTCGCCTGCAGGGCCACCATACCCTTCCTTTTTCTGTTTGTCACAAAAGGTAGACTGGCCATGAGGATGACAAACAGAGCAAAGGAAGTCACCACACCAGCAGCAGCAACAGCCTCCACCACAATCCCCCACACCGTAGTCAGGTCACACAGGTTGTAGTATATAGAGCTGATGCTGGAACCGCATCCTTTTGGAGCACTCATGGCTTCAGTCCAGATGTTTTCAAAAGGCTGCAACCAAAAAATACCTCGATTATTTAAAATACACATGCAAATCTTTAGTTACAAATCATGTTAGCAGTGTGGCTCACTCTAAATTTAAGTACAAAAAAGATATTTAGTTCATTACTCTGTCACACAGTAACTATTGTTGCTGGAGTTTCATGATGAAAGTGAAGTTGTGTCTAGTCCTGCGCCACTTGTCAAGATAATAGATTCATTCAAGTATCTAAAGAATCAACACATTGTCTTCCCTGCGTTTAATGATCATTCTGCAGTGAATTCTATTCACTGCCCAAACACTGTCTAACCCCGCTGCTGCTCCTTCTAATAACATTTTAGCATTTCTGCTCCCTGCTCCAGCAAATGTAGCCTTCTGGTGTCACAGTACAAGTAATTTACACTTGTTTTGCATACAATAATTTGATCAAATGACAGTGTCAATGAAAACCATATATCTCCAAGTCTGGTGAATTTGTTTATTTGAGATAAAAAATTAAAAAAAAGAACTGTTCTTCTCACCTGTCCGATGTACACCGCCACTCGGCCAGTGTCAGCTGTCATAGGCTCCATATAGCTAATGTATGGATGGATGAATAATCCTAGATGGCCTGACAACCTTTTTCTAGTTCTTAAATTAAATAAGCAATTTATTATCTGTTACCAATAAGCCTATTAAAACTGATCTTTTTCTTTAGCCCAAGGAGGTACATGGTTTTCACAGTAATCTTGAAATTGTTTTGGAATAGCAGAGTAAATGGTGCCAGTTTAATATCATTGTAACAAGTGTTGCGTCTTTGTCGCTCGTCAGGGACGAATTCTTACCTAGACCGGTGACAATGAGCTTCAACAGGTACCTCAGGTAGATTATCTCCGGTAAGGATAACCCACATCAGAAAAACAAATTGCCTTGCCCGAAATACTTGTTTTTTCTTGTCTATTACCAAACTCCGAGCGATTTGTGTGCGTTCAAATGTTCACTTCAGGGGTTTTTCACGGACAGTCTAGTCTTCCATCCGCCCACTTGTTATTGAACCATGCTATAATGGAGTCATCGGCAGTCGCATCAAAGAAGTTAAATGTTAATGTAAAAACTTTCTCTGTCGACACAGGACAGATTAGTTTGCCTCTTTATCCAGCCTCTGAGGTGGTTGAAGCTTTGCATATTATGTGAGATTAGCAGCTCCCTATTTGTTTCTGGCATCTTACATGCAAACAAAGGCGCCAGTCTCCCCGCTTATATAGCCAGAGGCTGTACCACCTGGTCTGAGCTGTGACTTGTTTGAGATTGATTCTAAAAACACTGATAATTGATGATTAAACGTTTTACAAGGTTTCACAATTTTGTGATTAGTCTTTAAAGGTGATTTCTTATGAAACGACCAACTGCTGCTCTCAACGAGTTTGGTTTTCTTCCATCTAATGCCCACTTTCAGTATAAAAGCCTACAAAAAGCCCGATATTTTTAGGTTAAGACTAATTCAACTGAGTGCACTTTTACATTCACAACAGACTTATGATAAATTTTCTCTGGAATAAGTGTTTCAGAACCATCATCCTATGGGGGGAAGCTGTGTCTCTGGTTGGCAGAGCCACCTGGTGGAAAATAGGAGAGACGGATTCCTGTGTCTTTAGTTCTACACCATAAAATCAGTTTACACAATAAAATAGACCTTGTTATTGATCTGTAGGCTGTGCCATTTAACAACCATTTGATAAATATGAACATTGACTGATTCTACTGAGTTTAAGTTTTTATGTAGTCTCTTGTCAGAAAGGTGTGTGTGCTGTCTGCAATAAATGCTTCACATCAACCATTTGCAGATCTACCAGAATAAATGTAAATAACTCAATGTGAGCTCAAAGCAACATCTCTACACATTCTGTGATGTTTATTGTAATATTATTTGTTTCACACTTTACATGCATGTACACATTTGGCATATTTCAGGATAGTATAATCATCTGTGTGACGTTTTGGAAAGCTGATTGTCTGGTCTAGTGCATTTCCTCTGGGTTCATCCCAGCAGCGAAGTCATCTTGCACACCTTGTTGTGTGTTGTAGCCCCTTGTGGTGCATTAATCCCTCAATGGATCTCGTTATGATGGGTGCTCTCACAAACCCAGCAGCTTATCAATCCCTCTGCATTGTGAGAGCTTTCTGTTTTCTTTTTGTAGCTATAACAACAGTTGGCTGAATTGTGTTTTACTATAGTGCTACACTTTGAGCTGGTTGCCTAATGCAGAAAGAGTACAGGTCCATTACTTGAATCCATATAGATCAGCTGCATTCATATAGATGTCATGAATCCTATTTGGATGCAGCTATATTTCCTTTGTGAAAACAAATATAAGATATCACCACAGATCTTGCACCTTGTCCGTGTTATCTAGTCTGGTTTGTTGCAGCAGGCTTCATTAGGGCACCTCAGCAGCACCACTCTCCTTTGAGAACCTGTCAGGTTATTCATAGCAGTGGCTCAGGTTGGGCTCTCACAGGACATCTCTTCTCCTGCATATCTACTGCAGTCTGGCAGCCATCTGGGCTTCACCACAACCCAAATTCCCCCTGAAATGATATCCGTCCTTGTCTGTCTCATTGTGGGCATGGTGTTAGTATAGGTACTGTGACTGGACTAATGGTCTATGTATTGATTTTTTTAAAGTACCAGATCCATAGTGGGCTTATCCTTTTGAGAAGATTTTAACAGGGATTTCAGTATCAACTGACCCGTGTCTGACTGACATGTCGATGCTACCTGAGTGATAAACAAAGGCTTATTTTATTAGTACTATGGAAATTTCTTTCACCAGAGGCATTGTATTAATGCATGTTATTTTATGATGCATCGTTTTCTCATGCCATATGACATGTGACCCTTGCCTGTGCAGCTGTCTTTGACAGATTTATTAGGTGAGGAAGACTCAGTATGTAATCATTTGACTTTGAGTCATTGCAGCATTTCATACTGATCATTACAGCCTGGAGGTTAGTATCCTCTGTGCAACTATCCAGCTGGATTTGTCTATATCGCACACACGCCCTCTGCACTGTGTAAGATTTGTGATTAAACAACAGCTTGTAAATGCCACCTGAAAATAGTTTTACATGTACCTAATGGTGCACTGTGGAATCTTTACAGCTTACTTTACACAGATAACTAAAAATGCATGTATTGTAATCATTCATTCAAACATTCAAAATTATGATTACATAAAATCCCTACTGGCAGTTGCATCTGATAAACAGAGCTTGCAGAGTAAACCCAGCAACAATGAAATTATGCCACTATTGTTTAGTCTTTGTATTATTTTAATATGGCATCAGAAAAATAGTATCTCTTAGCTGAAAAACTGTCCTATAAATGGATTATGAAAGTTGATTGACTTCAGTCCGTCACACGTATTAGAACCTCAATTACTTTTGGCAGATAGTCTCATTGCAAACCTACTGTAATTAATTGACTAATTATGTGGCGCTCATTGCATTTAATATAAATATAAACAAAAATGTTGCAGTCCTGGGATCTGCAGCATACTGAATCTAATCAGAACATGAAACTGTGTTAATATTGATTGCTAAGAGTGTCTGATGTCCCAGACTTAAAAAAAAAATTCAGCTGTGTCCTTGGATGGCCTGGTGCCACTGATCAATGCCATGTAACATCCAAAAGGGAGAAATTCAAAATCAAAGCTGTCGCTATAGCAACGCCCCTACCAGATTCCACCAATCAATGGAGTCTGTGGGGTTGCAAGATATGCCAGGGAAAGGCCGGCGTCCTACATAAAGAGTGTGGGACAGGGAGCCGGGCGGCACACACAGGGCAACGCACCTTTCTGTACGACAAAGCAGTAAAGAGGGTCAGGAGAAGAGTGACAGAAAGAAAGAGGGAAAGGGCAAAGGAAGAGTGGCAGGGAATAACTGAGAAGATATGATACGTTCATGTGAACAAGGGATCCTTGCCTGGGTCTATGTGGGCACCCTGCTCATCTTCATCCACTTCTACTCTGTCACAGTTAGAGGAGGTAAGAAATATAGCATTACTAGTTTGAATTGTTAGCTTTTAAAGAGTAATCTCACTTTTTCATCTTTTTCATACCTTATATAGTAAAAGAAGCTGTATTGTTCCATTTCAGTCCAGCTTTTCCAATACTATCAGCGGGTAGTAGGGTGCAGCATGAATGTGGGGCTTGTGCCCAGCCTCAGGGCAGCAGATGGGTATTTATTTATTCTACCATTCATGTCCTCATCTGTCTGTCTGCTGGGTGCAGGGATAGACAAGCAAATGCATTTTCTGTCTGGCTTTGTGCCGACTCAGTAATACACAATACAAGCACTGAGGGAAAGCTTTGTTTTTTTTTTTTTGCTACTTAAAGAAGATCTGACTTTAACTCATTTTAACCAAAGCTATTGAAGGCCACATTCCTCTGCTGTCAGATTAGATTGCATCTGAGATTCCTCATGAACACGGACTCATCTCATCCTAGATATTTAGGGACTATTTAGGGAATATGTATAAATGTTTTATTCATCGTGTTTTCAGCTGTTCTTAGCTTGAGTAGTAGAGACTGAGTCACTTTTTATTCAAATGTTTATTCTCAGATGTTTATTATCTTAGAGCAGAAAAAAGGTAAAGGTAAATGTAAGTGGTAATTGTTTATTTGGCCACACTGTGTCAGAATCACTGGTCAATACACACATCCAAACACTCCACCATGCTCAGCTGGCTCAGGGTGCTGGCTAGCTAATTGAAAAATGATTACTTTGAATTGGGGCCACTTGATTGTGGTAGAGAAATGAAGACTGTGAGGCATCCGAGGGAGCAAGTGTGTTCCCTGTGTATCTCTTTAACAGGCTAACAAGGCTGCTAATATCTGTGGTACAGCAGAATGGAAACAGCAGCTTGTCATGCTGAGTCTTTCATGTGTGATTCTCCAGTATGTGCCACTTACACTTACATTCAAGAGGGCCCATAGACGCAGCCATCTGGAATGGCTCTGCAAAGTCAGGATTCTTTTCTGAGCACCTGCATATCAGTCAGCCACATCTCCATAGCATATATTAGATGTTTAGTCAAAGGGTTAGGGAGTGCTTTTCCAGGTCTTGCTGAGTGAAATCTAGGAGAGCAGAGTCAGGTTGATGCAAATTATGGTGCTTAAAACAGGAAATTTAAAAAATGTAAATATTCTTATAGTTTCTTTAAAAACACAGATACGGTAGCTAATTGCAATTGTAGGAGAACAAGAGAAAATTCTTCTGCCTGTAAAGAGTGATTTTAGTGTTTCAGTCATGTGCTGCTATTGTCCACATTCTTTGTCTTTTCATAGCTGTCCCAAAGCTGGAGGCAGCACTGGACAGTGGGGCCACGGTGCTAAATCACTCCATGGGTTTGGTGCAGCGTATGGAGACCCTGCTGGCCATGGGGAACGGCAGTGATGTCACTCTTCGGGTGCACACTATCAATACGGATGAGGTGAAGGTGATCCAGGCCCATAGCCTGGTTCTCACCCTGCAGAGTGATGTATTTGAGGAGCTGCTGCTTAGCCGCAATAACAGTACTGTGGTTTTGAGGGAAACCCTGGACTGTGCAACTGTCTTTGACAAGTTTGTTAGGTGAGGAAGACTCAGTATGTAACCATTTGTTTAAATTTAATGAAATGAAAACATTCAGGAAACTGTGGAGTTGTTTGTATTTTCTACAGGTGTGACGTTACAGGACTTTACTCACCATTTTGCTTTTCTCCTTTCTATTTGAAAAAATAGGATGCTCCATCTTGTGAAATATTCTAAAATTACACCTGCTGTTTGAGGCTCACAATTGATTTTGACAGTGTGGGTTTCTTCAGTGAGTCAGATGTAAGGCGAGATACCAGCTCCAAAATATAATATGCCTCACAGAAAGATTGTAGCTCCTCAGGGCAAGTGCCTTTTTTAGATGATGGTGATGGCTTTTTTCTTCCCCCAGGTATCTGTACTGTGGTGACATCTCAGTGCGACTAGATCAGGCCGTTTCTCTACACAAGCTGGCCAGCAAGTACCATGTGTGGGGCTTGCAGCAGGGACTGACCCAATATATGACGCAGCATCTGTCCAGTGATTCCCCCGCAGGCCATGTGGTTGGTTGGTACAGCTATGCACTACAAATTGGGGACACGACCCTGCGAGACAGCTGCCTACAGTACCTGTCCTGGAACCTGTCTTCTGTGCTGCAGAGCGGAGAATGGGGTTCCATCAGTGAAGAACTGCTCCTCTCCTTGCTCAGACGCTCTGACCTCATTTTGCAGAGTGAGCTGGAACTCTATGAGGCCCTGGAGTTCTGGATTAGCCAGAACCAGCCTGTCAGTACGACAGTGGAGAGTGCCTTAAGGGCTGTTCGATACGGCATGATCTCCCCTCAGCATCTCTTCCGTCTTCAGAAGCAATCCCCCCTCATGCTGAAGTATTACGAGTCTATCCGTGATCTCCTCTTTTTAGCTTTCCAGTTTCATTCTGCTTCTCCTATCCAACTGGCCAAATACTTTGATGTCAACTGCAGTATTTTCACACCCCGTAACTATCTGTCCTCCTCCTGGGGGTCCCCTTGGGTCATAAATAACCCTACCCGTGATGACCGCAGTTTCAGCTTCCAGACCCAGCTCGGGCCCAGTGGTCATGACTATAATAAGAAAATTACATGGAATGCCCTTTTCTCGCCTCGCTGGCTCCCACTTAGTGTAAGAACATCATACACTGAGCTGGGTGCTATGCAGCCCACCCGCACAGAGGGAGGTCGACCTCGCATGATTATAACACCAGCAACTTCTAGTCCAGACTTTGCTGGTGTGAGTTTCCAGAAGACAGTGATTGTTATGGCAAGACAGCAAGGAAAAGTGGTGGTTCGCCATGTCTACAACTTCCACCAAAGCACAGAGGAGGTCGGGGATTTCCTGGTGGATGCTGACCTGCAGCGCCGTTCCTCTGAATACCTGATTGACAGCTCCCTCTATCTGCACATTGTGATAAAACCTCTCTACCATAGCCTTCTTGTTGCCAGAAAGTAAAGGCAGGAAACTGCTGTTATCCACCCACCACCAACACAATCACATGCACATATTCCATCATAATCATATGTTTATGTGTCAGGTCTGTGACACCTAATTTATTGATTCATTTGTGCATTTTTTTTCTTTGGTCTTCCAAATATTTAGTGAGGAGGTGTCTGGTAAAATAAATGACTAACAATTGAACAACTTGGTAGTTATGACAGTAATGGTGGGTTTTTCAATATTTTATGCTTACGGAGGAAAACACTTCACTTCACTGTACAGTATTTGTGCAGGTATTTTATAACCTGGTTGTTTGTTCCTTGAATTTATTAAATCTGTGTGATGGTTAATGTTGTTTGCTTAGGTACTATAGAAGGTTTGCTTACTATTGCTTTAAGGTTTATGCATTTCACAAGTCAGCACTCAATAATATATTTTTAGTTCGTAACTCTTATATCCTGCAACATACAATTATAAACCTGCTTGCTATAAATGTGCTAATTCAAGTGCAGTCTCATTGCCAGTATTCCTTTGTTCCTTTATATGACATTTGAAACTGAAATTGCAGTTCCTTGGTAATTTTTTCTCAGTAATTGTTACACTTTCATTTTATCTTGCTTTTAAAGCAACTACACCCATATGTACTTTAATCTAAAATAAAAACATAATAAAAGATACTGAGATAAAAATCTGTCTATGGAGGTCTTTAATGTTTTAGAAAAAAAATACATTTCAATGAATGATCTTATTGTAGTTGAATACTTTTAATTTGCCACAGTAACTGTTGGAAATAATCGCTTTGTTCACAGAAAAAATAGCTGACAGTACAGACCACACATCCCATGATGCATAGCAAGAAGGAGGAAATGCGTCATCACGCCGTTGGAACCTTCAGCTGTCAGACTTTGGCCACCCAAAAAGTGCAGGTTTTGTAAGCAAAGTAACTCGAAGTGTTCAGCCGGTGCCGACTTTTCATAAAGTTGTGCATTCATCTCCTCGTCGCTCTTTGAACCCGTGAGCTGGTGATTGAAGTACGAAGATTGCACGAAGACTAACCATCTCGTTTTAATCGCTGCTAGTTTTTGCACGACAAGCCAGCGATCCTGAGCGGGTGTAAGGGTAGATGCAGGGAGGGAGGGAGTAAAAAAAGGCAAAAGTCTTTGTGCTTCCCTTCCCCCTCATCACAGCAAAGGGGAAATGTCTATGTCTAAAGGAGGTAAGTGGTTTTTTTTCCACACTTTTTTAAAAACAACAACTGTGCATATATTTAAAAATTCGAGGTGCATTTTGCGTGGAAGTATTTTAGCTAGCTGCGTTTGAGAAATCTAACCTTGCCAGGTGGGAAGCTGCATGCATGAGGAGGAAAAAGAGAAGCTAACGAGCTTGTCTCTACTGCTTTTTATCATCATACGAAGACTGTAGACACCCTGGTGTCTGAAGGAATTCGTCACTGACCTGGTGATAGCGTGATAAGTGCTAGTTTTTACTGTTAATGTTTTAGCTAAAAGGCACCCGTGTAATGCTTCCCTTAAGTTTCCGTGTTGCGGTTAGCTAACACCGTTTTCACGACAATAAAGGACTTTTGCCAAGCTGTATTTGCCACCCAACCTGCCCCCGAGCTGGGTATCACAGTGCGGAGATTAGTTTCTGCCTTTCGTCAAAGTAAAGCACACTGGGACCACAGGTGTTTGTATTTTTCGAATTCCTGGCTCATGACTCACGGATTGCATTGGATTCTTTTGGTTTGGCCAAAGTGTTAGCGCAAAAAAATGTCTTTGTGCCAGCGTTCATGAAATGCTTGTGTTTCCGCGGTCACGTTCCTTTATTTTTTATAACAGGCAGCGATGCCAGTGAACCAGGGAGCTATCACACACTTGGCTTCTGCCAGTCACTCAGTCAGGCAGTGCTCTTTAATGACTGGTCGCTGTTGAATAAAATAGCACACCTTGGAAAATCAAGGTCCTTCTTCTGCGTCACGCAGAAAGCATGATGATGATGTCAATTTACATTTCAAGTTCACCGCTTGTGTTGTTACACAATCATACTAGCGTTACCATGGTCGGGAGTACACACTGTTTTGACAGGGCTTTGTAGATTGGCTGGGTGCTGCTCAGGCAATCACAGCCATTGGTCTACCATGGCATGTTCTGACTTGCAGCACCAATACCTGGTGCAGTCTCTCTTTGTTGACACTTCGCTGACTGCAGGCAGATACTCCATAGCTGCTACACAGGTTCTGTGCTGTTATTATTGTGTGCACCAAAGCAGGCCCCACTGTGTGGAAATGCTTTTTTCCCCAGCCACTATAAAGATCTGTGCCTTTCTTGGTGGAGTGGGCCTAAGTGCATTGCAGTGTTGTTCATGGTATTGCTGAGGCATGTTTGTAGATTTGGTTCTCCCTAACAGTACTGATAGAGAGGTGTGGAAGATTATCTGTGCATGAGTCATCATCTGTGTGTATGGACCTACTCTAAGGCTGGTACTTTCTAATGGTGACTCGCCACTCAACTGTTGACAGTTTGATCCCATGCACAATTCAGAAACGCTTGTTCACGTCATGTATGTACAGTATTACTCCACTCTGGGTATTTTCCATGCAACATCTTCAGCTTTCTAAGAACTACTGCATTTCCTGTAAAAGCGCACCGGTTCACTGCTACTGTTTGCAGTAGCTGAAACAGACTCTAATAACTCTTTAACATAGCATCTGCAAAAATATTGATCTGGTTAAGACATCATGATAAATAGGGAGAATGTGTAAAGATATTTTTAGAAAAGTGCACAATTCAACTGAAAAAAGTCTATGTTGTACATGCATTTTTCTTGTGCTGTCTGGATATACTGCAGCTGTAGCTAATGTCATAGCACTGTTCTGTCCTCTCATGCTCAGTGTGAGGACCAGGCAGGTCTTGCTGCAGTAAAGCTGGCCTCAGTTGGCTGTAATGGGGACAGCGAACATCAAGCAGGCCAAATGAAGTGACATCATATTTCCCAAAGGGTCCTGACAGTTGTTGTGTTTTGAGCAGACGTGTCCAGTCTGACTGGTGTGAGTCATATCCCAGCCCACAGCCCCAGTCACAGGGTCACTGCACACACCACATACTGGCTCCCCAAGCAGAACTGCTACCTAGGCAGGGTGTTATAGTATTTCAAATACTTCAAAGCACATATTTTTTGTAGTAACACAGAGTTAAATATAATGTACACTATTGTAAATGCTGCAGTTTTCTGCAGCAGCAAAGGATTCTAACAGCTTTTAGATGCATGGCATGTCAGATGGTCTTGTATTGCACCACAGTGTTCGTGAGCTGCTCTAGTTTTGTTACTGCACATGAATAAATGGCTGTCTTATTTGTCAGGTCATTAGAAGTCTTTGAGCACTCATACTTGATCCCACGCAGAGGAAATGCAAAATCTATTTTTGCCTCAGCATATGTGAGTAAACCACACTTCAGTCTCTCCCTACCGAGAGACACTGCAGGCCCTTTTTTAGGGCTGCATCACAAAATGGACCAGCCTGATGAGTCTGTGGCAGGTCATAGACTCTAAAATCCAGTAAAATTTCACTTCCCTTCTAGCTTGCTCTAGTAAAGCCGGGTTTCCCCATTCGTACTTCCTCCAGACTGGAGTGGTGTGACTCACTCATCGGTAAATCCAACCCCTCACGGAAATAATGACAGTTACAATTGTGTCAAACTGATCCATTGCTACCTTTTGTTCATTTTAGCAAGAGTTGTTGCATTTGTTCCAAAGTAAAGGTGGCTTGCTTGTGCATGGAACCAGCTACTCTGAACAGAGACAGAATCATTCCACTGCATGGCCTGAGCCTGTATGCTGCGAGGGCAAGAAATGACCAGCCGGTTCTGAACTGTTTCTCATCAAAACCAAGTGGCTAAAAATCTGACCAAGTCTGAGCACACACAGATAAAGGTCAAGAAAAGGGCTCTGGTTTTCTTGGTGACCTTGCATTAATGACATGTTGAACAGGAGTGTCCATGTCGAGAAAAGTTGAGCTGTTTTTCCTGTGTTGTTGCTCGTAGGCCCTGTAGCTGTGTCATTCTGGCAGGGAATCGCAGCCCCTTGTGGGAAATCCCAGAGGCTGCTGGTAATGACTGGACTGCTGTTGTTTATTTAACCTAGCACCGTACACCAGATATTCAAAGAACATAACAGATCCTAAACTTGTATTTATAAATGGAGGGGGGGGGGGGGAAAAAACAACATGTTGATATATCATCTTTTCTCAGTGATTGTAACAGTAAGAAGATATCATTACAGGAACACTGATTCCCTTGCACTTGAGTCATCATACTGTGCCCATTAGTCACATAGTCCACCTTCCCTCTATTGCAGGGCCTCAGCTTTGAGTACACCTAATCTCTAGTGAGATAACAGATCATTTGCTTTAGCTTGTGTCAGTAAATTGATTGTAGCTTTGAAAACATTCCATACAACCACAACACAATTAAATTTTCTATCAATAGAACAGTGTGGATATGCTGTGTGAAAACAAGTAAAGGCCATATACAGTAGATCTCTGCTCTTGCAAACCTCCTCTTTGAACTCGGAGCAGCTCGGCTCATGGGCTCATAAAAGTCTGTACATGTGAAGTCTGTTTACCGCAGTCCTTCTACAGAACACTGCAGCTTATACTAGCTTGTGGTTACTGCTAAATACTGCTTTATTGATCAGTGTTGATGAATCATGGATAGTAATGGTTTTTCTCATTTCTTGTCTATAAGGGAAGAAGAAGAACCCTGGGCTGAGGATTTCCCAAGATGTGTTTACACCGCCAGCAGCAACAGCGTAAGGCTGCTTTTTACAGTGGGGTTTGGGGGGTGGGGGGGACGACATGCTCTTAATTACATGGATTCAGAGAATGAGTCACTTAGCACTGATTTTAAACAATATTTTCCTGAGACGAGTTTGTAAATTGCTCTAATAAAGCACATCTTCTCTTACAGGTTTGACTTGTACCATTGCTGAGAATTGTGCCACATATTCTCATTTAAATGTTGCTCTTTCCTTTCCCTGCAGGCCTCCTCGAGATCTTGACTCTAAAGCTTGTGTCACAATTGGAGATAAGGTAAAGCTGGCTCCAATTTCCTCAGTGATATGCAGTGTTGGGGAAACTACAGTACTTTGAAAGCATAGCTTTTGCAAGCTACTAATCGCAGTGAAAGAAGTTGCCCCAGGGAGAAATCTAGTTTAGTTAATTAAAGTTACTTGGAACAAGTTGTTTAGACTGCTTGGGGAAAAAAAAAGATCTGACTGACAATGTTCAAGTGCTATAAAATACAGTATAAAGAGACACATGGTACGAAAATAAATCACATGCCACTCAGTTGAGACCTGTCCTAAATAAAACAGACACATCTGGGCAGGAAAAGGAATGTTGTATTTGGATTTGTATTATTTGCCTACAACTAAAAAAGTAAAGAAAAATGCATTTTGCACCTTTGTAAAACTTATGGCTGTCTCAAACATTGATAAAATGGGCCTGTACAATCTTAACTCAATCTTCAGCTGGCACCGTTTCAGACAGTATGAACAGCTTGAACACTGCTTAAATGGTGGGCCTATCTTTTGACTTGTTGGAGCAGAATCTCTTGTTTATATGACACATGAGCAGTTCTTATCCAACAGGGGGGTTCCTTTTGGCACTGAAAATGTCCTTGTCAACCCTGAAAAGCTGTTCACATGCAGCATGGTAAAATTAATACGAAAACTAACTACACAAAAAATGGTAGAAAGGTAATTTAATATGGATGTAGTTCAACTACCAGCAAGTTACTGCAAAATGTCATTAAACTACTAGTCAAAAGTTAGGGTTGGCGCTTCTTTTCAGAAGCATTTTTGTTACATTTCTTGGATTTCTCTTTTCACCCTGATGGCAATGAACGCATTAAATTGACTGACAGCATAAAGAAAAAAAATGCATCATCTGTGGCAGCAGCAGGGCTGAAAAACATCTGACCCATAATTTTACTTGGTCCAAGCAAAACCATTGGATGGCCCACCTGCCTGTCAACCTACCATACTATTTGCATGCACTCTGCCCTTGCACTTAATGTATGAGCCAAGAGTCTCCCACGAGAACCAGGCAGACAGATGTGTATCCACTCTCTTTTTATAGCTAACGTTAGCGAGCTGCGGCAGAGAAGGTACCCACAGCAGCGTTTGGTTTGGGGGCGTTTGTCATTTTCCTGAAATCTGTAGTCGTCAAGCAATGTGCGTTGTAGTGCATGTTGTGTTTTGGAGGAGTGGGTTTGGAAAGAAGTCAGAATGAAAGGGTGGGATTTCTTCTACTTTCAAAATCGAGCATCCTCATGCTGGTTTTTCCAGCAACGGCCAAGTATACCTTTAATTATATGTAGTTCACTACTCCCCAACACTGGTGTCACAGTGTTCTGTTTCTCACAGAGCTGAATGCATACATTAATGGAACGTCCTCTTCCTCTGTCCAGAACTTTGTGGTGAAGGCAGATGACTTGGAGCAGATCGCAGAGCTGGGCAGGGGAGCTTACGGGGTGGTGGACAAGATGAAACATGTACCCGATGGTGTTATCATGGCTGTCAAGGTAAGCTGGGAGGCAGCTGCTCAAGTTACCTCATGTGGCATCTCTATAAGTAACCTCTGGTGTAAACTACTCAGAGGTTGGTCTTGGGAAGACAGAAGTAACGGGGTACAAAATATAATGAGAACAGTGAAAATCCCCAGCCTGTCAAAGCTATAATAAAAATACTAGGTATCTGCTCATGCATGTTGCTGCTTTTACTGTCATGTAATTGTTGCTATTAACATTTGTTTTATCTAATTTGCATTCCAATGTTTTTTCTTAATATGCATTTTAATGTTCTATCTGTATGTGTGCACTGTGTTAAGCACTTTGACTTGCCTTGCGTATGAAAATGTGCTATATAAATAAACTTGCCTTGCCCAAGTGTACTGTGCGTTTCAAATAGAAGCCATGACTCATAGATGCATTCACCATATGAGTTCAACCGTAAATATTTGGATGAGATCTGTGCCATGTTGTACTGAGCGGGGTTATAGGACACAGGACAGTGGTTGAGTTAAGCTTTATCTGCTGTGGGATGAAACTGACAGCCTACCTGTGATGTTTGTATGCCCAGAGGATTCGTGCCACAGTCAACACTCTGGAGCAGAAGAGGCTCTTGATGGACCTGGACATTTCTATGAGGACAGTGGACTGTTTTTACACAGTGACCTTCTATGGCGCCCTCTTCAGAGAGGTGAAGCCGTAGTATCATTCATTTATGACTGCTCTGGTCTTCTGCCTATGTTTCTAACCATCTTGTTTCTTGTGGGTCACGTTTTTTCAGGGGGATGTTTGGATCTGTATGGAGCTGATGGACACCTCTCTGGATAAGTTCTATAAGAAGGTTATTGATAAAGGCAAAACCATTCCTGAGGACATCTTGGGCAAGATCACAGTAGCAGTATGTCCTGTTTTATCTTTTACAATAAAGTGGTAATAAGGTATAAAGTGCATTTATGTGCACTCTAAAGGAATATTTTATTTTCAGAAAATGTGCTTAATTTCTGACTCTCATTTCAGCTCTAACTCTCATTTAGTTAATTTTCCCTTTTGACCCACAGATTGTCAAGGCACTAGAGCATCTGCACAGGAACCTGTCAGTGATACACAGAGGTAATCATAAGATGGAGTCATCAGTGCATGGAGTTTTCAGTTTCACATCGATGTCATTCACTCTTGGTTTGCAGTCATCTATCTTATTATTCTCTTAACGTCTCTTACCAGATGTGAAGCCTTCCAATGTTCTGATCAACACTCAGGGCCAAGTGAAAATGTGTGACTTTGGCATCAGCGGCCACCTGGTGGACTCCGTGGCCAAAACAATAGATGCAGGCTGTAAGCCCTACATGGCGGTGAGTTCATACTGGGGAAGAGGAGGGAAGCAAGTCCTGCTACTGGCCAGCTACGAATTAGAAAACGGTTCTCTGGACATTTACTGAGGGACCGTAAAGCTCACAGAGGCCAGGCTCATGTTGGTATCTGAGATCACTGTGGTGCTCAGCAGCTGGAGTAAATTGGAGAAATTCACAGGCAGGAGCTTTTTAACTGTTTTGAAATCCAGACCCCAGGCCTGTACTGTCTTCACTGCTAAGCTTTCAAACATCATGCCTAGAATGTAGGCTCGCAAAACCAGTGTGCAATTTTAAGTTGTCCAAACAATACACTGTAGCAGGTTTGTTCATAAGTCTGAAACGGTCGTTACTTTTCTCAGCTTGTAAAGCAAACCTCAATTCTAATATTGTTCACATGATTTTTAGATGGTGTTGCTACTTAACTGTTCCTAATATTTTCCATTTCAGCCTGAACGGATCAACCCTGACCTCAATCAGAAGGGCTACAGTGTCAAGTCAGATATATGGAGTCTTGGTATCACAATGGTGAGTAGGGCTTGATACTGAAATTTTGGCTTTTTGTGATGCAGTTAGAACAGTTCAGCTAAGTACAGTTAATGCCATTTTTACTTCAGTGTTCAGGAAATGAATCACTACAGAATTCCATATTATTGCTGACTATAAATGTTTCTACTTTATTTCGTTTAAATGTAGATTAAAAACATGATTGAGGCTCACAATCATATGATAAATACCAAAATATAAGTGTTAGTTTTAGGTGATCACTTTCTCTCCGTGATTCATTTGATAATAGATTGTTTAGGTAAACAGCTTAGGCTCAGCTTCTGCTTGTGATGAATATCCTGTTTATGTTTTGTGGAATATATGGCTTTGCCTGTCTGACCTCAACAAAAGCACATTTTGTCAGATGATTAATTGCAGTATTTACCAAACATTGTCAAAAGAGATCCCATTACAGGTGTCTCAGCAATTCAACAGTAACCTGGCCCTCCTGTTGAGTCATGGTGACCTTTCACAGTTTTGAACTGTCTCATTCC